GGGGCGGGGAAGGCCGGACTGCGGGAGGGAGGGGGAGGAAGTGGACTTACCTGCTGCCTCCCCCTCCCCGGACACATTTAAATTTGCGTCGGGCAAACAATGTTTGATAAGGTAAACAGCTCTCACTCCCCAATCAACAAAAATTATCTCTTCCCATCATTCATTTCATGAGATGTCAATTTTCCCTATTAATGTAATTTATTTTTTTGTCTTTTCCCGCTTGCGTTCATGCGTTAGCGAGTGAGACTAGAAAGAGAGACTTCACCTCAATACGTTAACATCCGGCTCGTGTGAGACACAGACTTTCTGTGATTCCGATCAAATATGGTGACGTCGACACGTTTTCTGTGCAATAAGGCAGATCCCAAGAAAACGGTCAACGTTCTTGGTTGTTGGCGCATTGTTCAAGGCTAAAATATTGTACTTTGCCCTTCACAATCTCCATTATAAGCTTTTCCCCTGGTTTCTTCCAAACTAATATAGGCCTGTAGTCATATCTTCTTGTAAAATAAACATATATTTTATCCTTGTTCATAACATGGCATAGTGTGCCGTCCTCTGTACTGTTGTGTTGCATTTCTCTAATTTGTTCTGTTAATCCTTAAGGCATGGCAAGTCCTGCCAGTAAGGTCAGTCTTCCTTCAGGTGACCGAATTCTCAGAGCTTCTGAGTCCCTCTGATTTCATTTTTATACCATTCAGATCAAGTCACAGCTGCTGACTTTACTCGCAGAACTTGCTCTTAGTGAAAAAAGTAAAATAAAGAAGTATTGAAATTTCTTGGCATTGTACCTTAATATTGGACTGATCGATTTGAGGATATTTTTTCTCATATGATTTCGTATAAGTTTTTTGGCTTAGTGTTCAGAAAAAATTTGTTAGATTTAACACATACATAAGTGGCCTTTCTTTTTCGTAAGCATAATCTTAGCTCGAAAGTCGCGTTTCATTTTGTTTTTCATCAGAGTTATCTCATATTTTATGAAGAATAAAATGTTGATTTGACACCATAGCTATTCCCTGTTGGTCATTAGTGTTCTGTGTTAGTTCCCCCCTGTCCGAGGCGGCCCGGCCAGTGTGGCCAGAGGGTCCCGACCGCGGCCGCGTCCTGGTTTGTTGTGCCCCATTTGTACATTCAGCCGAGCGAGCTGCGGAGGCGGCAGTGTCTGCGCCTCGGTCTGCGCTGCGGTGTGACCGTTGTCCAGCCAGCAATAGACCAGGCCGGACCAGGCCGTGCAGCATGAGCGCGGCGTACAGCGTGCAGCCGCAAGCGGTGTCGACAGCGAGCTGAGCGAGCATGGCGGAGCGACCAGACAACAGGCTACGCTGCCGATGGAGTTTGATGCTCTGCGAATGATTTCGACAAATCCGAGTAAAAATCTTGTTCGACGTTTTTTTATGGCGGTAAACACAAGGAATTGTAACAGAGTAGGAATGCATGTCAGGGGGCCGCGCTGCTGGTGGCGGTCGGAGCCCATGATCCGTGTCCCCTGAAGAGTCTGACCTGCTGACTGCTGGAAGTGACTCGGCAGCTGCCCGCTTCCTGACCGGATCTGGATGCGTATTGCATTCCCCTTTCATCATTCCCAGTACTTCTGCAACGGTATTTCTTTCTGGAAAACTCCTCGAGATGTCCCTGCTTTTAACATTTTTTTTGCTTTTACACTGAGCCAATTTGAATAGAAATGGCTTTGGTGGGATGAGCTACGCAAACCGACCCACACGCTATGACTGAAAGGGTTGGGGTTGCCTTCATCGGGATGCAGAGTAGCGTCGTCCTGCCCCGCGGCCCTTCAGCGCCAGGACTTCCAGACGGCCAAACTCCGGGGCGCGGCGGCGGCGGCGGCGGCCCAGTACATGACCTGGCTCAACAACAAGCGCGGGAGAGGCGCGGGGGCGGGACACTGCGGAGGTCGCCAGCCCGGCGGCCCAGCCAGCTCACTCAGTCAGATTGACTCGGCGGGTCATATCGGCTCCCTCAGACACAATAAAGAGAGTACACAGAAACACACACAGGCCTCGTTATCCCCCATCCCCCCCACTCTACCCCCCAATAAATCCATTTTCCTTTACGCCCCGCCACAACGACAGCGGGGCGTGGAGCGCTGAAACTCGCCCAACTTCCTGGGCGCCGGCCGCAAAAACAATGTTCCTCACACACGAGCTGCCGGCCTGGAGGGCCTGGAGGGCCTGGAGGGCCTGGAGGGCCGGGAGGAGGCAGTTTGGGAGTCTGGCCCCCGCGGCCCGGATACGGCTCACTGCGCCTCCGACGGCGCCGCGTCGGCCCGGCCCCGCCACACCCGCCCCGCCCCGCCACGCCCCATCACAAGTCCCGTGATAAAAAGGACCGCTCCGGGCCGGCTTCCTCCAGTCAGACGTCATGCGGGTGCGGGCAGCCGGCGCGGTCCTGGCGGCGGTGCTGCTGCTGCAGCGGGCCCGCGGGGCGGACGGCGGCGACATGGAGGCCGCGGCCGCGAGCTACCTGCTGCCCTCCGGCGAGCTCAACTGGGACGGGTCGGCCGGGGCGGAGGACGGCGAGGAGGTCTCCGGCAAGAGCAGCTACTCGTCGTACGTCGTCAACACGCCCGGGGAGGACGAGCTCCTCAGCAAGCTGTACAAGTACCACGTGGACGACAAGGGGGACCGCGTACCTCGAGAGGTACGATATGTATTCAACGGGAGAGGTCACTGTCGGCCGCGCCCTGAGGCGGTCTAAGGTTAATGGGTAAGCACGCGACGGCAACCTTCCAGCAAGCTTCCAGCAGGCTGCTGGAACATAATCTGATTATGTTCTCCCAGAGGATCCGCTGCGCTGCGCGTGCTTATACGCGGCACGGTAGGTCACACCACGCAGACCTCACGTCGAGTTTGTTTGTCAGCCCCCCCCCCCCCCATTCTGTTCTCGCTTTTTCATCCCCAGCACTTATCACGCCCCCCTTCTTCTAACCACCACCATCCCACCTCCCGAAATTCAATATAGCAAGACGTAACGTAGGTTTACTTAGACAGCCTAGTCATATTATGTAACGTAGAGGGAACAATATAGGCGCCAGGAGACGGGGTGGATCAAAAGGCCAGTTTATGGACGGGCCCTCCCTGTATCAACGGACCGTCCTCGCTGTCCGAAAAAAGGAAATTCTGGGCTGGGCAGGGTTGCAGTCCCCCCCTTCCTCTCT